TGGGAGTGACCACACTGTCCAATGTAAATCAAATTATTTCAAGAAAAAAATGTAATCATTTGATAATATAGAAGATAATGACGATGAAATATCACATTATTATGTTTTAGTATTGAAAGAATAGAGAGGGAGAGGGAGAGAGATTGGGAGAGAGGGAGAAAGAGATATAGATAGGGTGGGTAGGAGGGAGGAGAGAGAGGGAGAGAGAGAAGGGGAAGGGAGGATGACGAGATTTGAAGAAGGTACGAGGCACCCTTCAATTAATTATTTGGATTCGTTTATTCCCATTTTATTTACCGAGTTAAGCCGACGCCCCCCCCCCCCTTACCTAAAAACCTTAGCATAAGACCCGCTATACGTGTTAACCTTCATTACGCGCACTGGAGACAGTGCATTGTTGCGTCACATAAGAAAACCTACATAGGCACAGCAGCGCGCTACATAGCGTAACTTTCGCTACTATGGAAATATAAACACACACAAACTGAGTACGTGCAGTTAAATGCACGTTGTTCTCACACACATCATTATAGTAAACTTAAGTATTGTACCAACCATTTCTCATTACAGCTCTTGGATTATATATACAAATGGATTATGTGAAATTGATTTATTTTATTCATGATTATATTGGAGGAATTCACATAAGGTAGGAAAACGCAACAAAGTTACGTACATTTTTGTATTATTCGATATTTGTTTTCCACGTTCATAATTAGTAAGGCCGTAGATCTAGATTAAAGAGGGAAATGTTGCTGTGTGACGGGGGGGGGGGGGGATGTTATTAAAAAAGTTACTGGGAAGTCGTATTAAAAATGAAATAATCACAAACGATCACAACAGGGTTATGAACGCAAAGAAAATACATTCGCACAAAATTCGATGTGAAACGTCGACTTTCAGATTGTTTTCATGCTTGCATGTATTTGCTTACTCATGTGTTTGTTATTTTGCTTTGATAAATGGGGCTTACAGCCATTCTAGTATTTGATCAAAACCAATAAAGGCAGTATTATCAATTTTCGTCAAAATGTATGTAGAACTACCAAAGGTCGATAACGGTTTTCCTAAGCGATTTTCAACCTTCTTTAAAGCACATTACCGCGATATGGTTGCAAATTAACTGTTACGTAATATAATTTTCTTCATAAATCTAGAATTCAATGTTCATGGTGTTCTCTGCTTTTTTTTTAATGTTTGTATTTGTTTGTTGCCTGTTTCTTACTCGTTATTAGTCTGTTTTATATTCATTTTCTGGTTGAATGTCTTCGGTTTTCGTTCATTATACCATCGAACAAAGCAGTCATGCTTTATAATATTTTTGTTTTCCTTTCTTTTTTTGGTCAACAAATTCGCGTTATAAATGTTCGTCAAATGTAGATTTATTAGTTATTAAAATAGATTCCTAGTTTCTTTTCCGGATTTGTTGAAGAGGAGGACGAAGGGGTCCGTGTTTTTTTAACATGAAAGCCTATATTTGTTAACTGTTTGATTAATATTTTCTTCTTATGTGAGTCTGACATTTCTTGTATAGTTCATAAACCGAATTCAAAATATCACAAAAAGTTCAAGTAAACAAAATGAAAATATCACAATAGAATATAGTAGCTGCGTTATCGATCTTATTAGTAATATTACTACCTGTATGAAGCTCTTAATTTGCTCCTAGACGAAGAACGCACATACATGTATTTCTCTGATTTTTTTTTTTTGTATCTGCTTATTCCGACCAAGCAATTTAGAACTATCGAAAGACAGTTCAGAACGCATCATTTTAGTTTAAAATGGCGGCCTACTTTCATGAAACGCGTTATCTGTTCGGAGAAGAAGACACATTAGGTTTTTTTTATTTTTAATTTGCTTTCACTGCGAAAAATCAAGTTATAACTATTTTTTTTTGTATGCTTTCATTATAAATAATATAGCTATTGAAAGACTGTTCAATTGATTCTTGTAGTGGTGGTTATTTTACCTGACTGCTAAGAAAGCATAAATTGTTAGTAAGCAACCATATGAACTCACCGAGAGACCTGGTAATGAGGATTAATGCCTTACCGAAGGGCACTAGCGCCTTGGTTTCGAACCCGGGTCGCCAAATTACGAGAACACTGCTCTACCAACTGATCTATCGCGCCTTCTGGAATTCACATGATTTAAAATTGTGGCCTACCTTCGTGAAACTCGTCAGCTGCTCGAAGACGAAAAAGACGTAGATGGCCATCTCGACGACAAGACACTTCCAGATATACGCCATCTCCGGGCTCGTAGGCGTATGAGCGCTGTGATCGCTGCTGTCGTGGGTGTGGAGACCCACAGCCTGCACGAGATTGAGAAAGAAACGTTTATAAGTATGAATAAGTACATGATGTATTGACCATATCAGGAAATTCGATTTCCACTGCGCGATAGAGGTAATATAAAATAATGCATATAATGAGACAAATTACAATAAGCTAACAACTAAATTATTCATATGCCTACCCCATGTTAATTTGACCCCCCCCCCCCCTTCGTATTCCAAGAACGAAAGATGGACTGGTTATATGAGGGCCTTTAATGAATACTTTCAGATGTTAGCTTTGATATGTCACATCTCAAGAAACATATATCAGGACAAATCAATTGTTTACACGCTAAAATAATGACAAAGCTTGGTGTTTTTACAATCACTTCCATTTAAAGCATTACCAGTCAGCATACAAAAGGGCTCAAGAAAAAAAAGAATGGTATGATTCCCTTCTCGACATATCAATGACCATCGAATACCTATGGTAAGAGGTGTAATATAGCATCACCAGTCAGTATTAAATAGTCTCAAGAAAACAAAGAATGGTAGAATCCCCTTTCGAGATTTCAATATTCATTGCTTTCCTCTGGTTCAAAGATGGTGGTAAGACAGCATTCCTAGTAAACATAGAAAAGGGCTGAAGTACAACAAGAAAGAGTGGTGAAGTCCCTTTTAGGGATAAACTGCCCATTGCTTACCTTTTGGCCCGGTCCCACTGGCCGATGGACACAAAACGTATGCATAAAGGACACAGCGGACGAGCAAAATTTCGGGGGTGGCTCCATCTGGTTTCATCCGCTCCAGAAATGGACAAAATTTGCGAAAATTTGCAAAAACAGAACGGAAAATAACAGACGTGGGTAGTATGTAGCGGGGATGTTAAACGGATGTTCATCGGAAGCCTAGCGGATGAATGCGGATGGAAGTGGATGACAGCTTTGAATACTTTATATACGAGATGCATACGCTTACATCCTTTCTATTTCCGTGCTACTAACGATGAATAGACGTTCCATGTACCTTCCCTTTCCTAGCTCTATCCGTTTTCAGCTACAGCGGATGTGAGTTGCGAGGATGCCCCGAGGATGCAGAGAGGATACAGCGGACGTTTAACGGATGATAACGGACATAGAACGTTTGTTGCTCGTATTTGTCGCGGATTTACATTGTACACGGCGGAAGTTCATCCGTTCTAAAAGTTTTGTGCAGCTCAAAACTTTTTGCGCGGATGAAATCACAGTGGACGGATGCTCGATGGATAGAGCGTATGAAACACGTATGCAATGAGTACACAACGGGTGCATAGCGTTTTCCAACGGATGGCAAGATTTTGTTTACGTTTTACATCCTCTTTGCATCCGTGAGTGCAGTGGGACCGGGCCTTAAGGTAACAGATGTATTAGAGAGCATACAAAAGGGCACAAGTAAAGACAAAAAGAAAAAGAATAAAGAGTGATGAATCCCTTTTAGGGATAAGCTGCCCATTGCTTACCTGTGGTAAAAGATGTAAGACAGCATCACCAGTCAGAGTAGCCACGGCTAAAGCTATCATTGTTTGTATGGTCTTGTCATAAAAACCCTCTGACATACACGGGACGAACAACCCGCCGAGCACCGCAAACAGGCTGATGATGAAAACTGCTAGAGTGCCGTATCCCCACACTGATTAAGAGGATACAATAGAATAGAATACAAAATCGATTATTAAAATAATAAAATATTTATTTATCAAACAACAGATCAAGTTTATCAAATACATGTATTAGGGTCCTGCTGAATAAAATTATCATTAATGGTATATCGATCTGCCATCAATGGTAACATTGCTCAACAGCCAATCAAAATCAAGTATTTTATTGAAGTTACCATTGATGGCAAAGTGACCATCAATGATAAGTTCTATCTATTTATCAAACGACGGATTCCATCAAATATATTTAAGTAGTCTGATTTTGAGTTTTGATTATCAATTACGTGAGTTTTCACCGTAAATAGATAAATACAATGCAATTATTCATTCATAAATTAACTTAAATTTGTGTGTCTTCATACAGAGGAGATCAGGGCCCTATTTCATAAAAACGTGTTTTTATCTTCATACAAATTTGCTCTCACCCAAATATAATTATACTAAAACGCCACAATTTTAATAGTTTATAAACGGTTTTTTATCTTGATAATTATAACAAGCTTTATGAAACAAAGTCCATGTCGAGTTTTTGGACATTTGTTTGGAGAAACAATTCCTCAGCGAAAGTGCACAAGAGAGGGATCTTTCAATGACGCACCCCAAAACGGAAGGCGGGAGTCACAATAAGAAAGAAACCGAAATAAGTTTATTACATTCATTAAGAAAAAAATAGCTGGTGATATATCAACAAAATCACTAATCAGTTACACAAAATCAAAATATTATCACTACCTCTGAGTCAATGAACCCCCAAAATGGGAGGCATTAGTGATAACAAACAAGAAAGTGAAAGAAGTTAATTACATTTATTATGAAAAACAAGGCTGGTGATATCTATCTAAACATTTACACTAAATCACAATATTTTTACTCACTTTTTGCTTTGGAGATATCCGATGGCTCAGTGGTTGTAATTTCGCATGCTCCACTCAAGATTTGTTGCACCAGTGACGGAGAAAGTTCGTTGAACTGTTCTTCGGTAATTCCAGCTTCATGGTCAAAACCGTATATGTCTAGTAGTTGTTCGCTCGAAAAGCATGTCTATAGACAAGAGAGAGAGAGAGAGTGTGTGGTATAAAGTAACAGGGGGAAATCCTTTATTAATCTGATCTATTTATTTAAATACAGTGAGTAAGTGCATGCTTTCGGCTTGACATAGCTGTTTTCAACATGTCCCTACATGGTACATTATTAAGAATACAGGGCATTCTACTACGATATTGAGCCGATTTAGCTTTTCCTCTTCTAACGAAGCATTTAAATCCAGCTTAAAACCCTTGAAATCTTCATTTTTCGTCATCATAATGACTGTTGAGATCTTTGGTCATTAAGTTTTCATATGTTTGAATGTTCGTGTCAAATGCTAATGGAATGTCTTCCAAAATCAGATCGTAGTCGGATCCTATGTTGTACGATGGGATTTAGAGTATATAGTAGTCTATCCGCCATACTTGTACGTAGAGTTTATTGAACTTTGGCAGATAATGAAGGCGAATTCAAAGACTTTCGTTGACTCAAAGAATGAAAAATGAAAAATGAAAATACAACCAAACCAAAACCAAAAGACAAAAAGACAAAAATGAAGAATAACTAAACTTTACCATACTTTTAAAAACTATAATCATTAGGGTGAAAATAGTGATGTGAAGGGAGGGGGATTGATTGCAAAAGTCACAACCTATCTGAGGATTTGATTATACCTCAACGTTTTGTCGTTGATAGGCTATGTACATAATATGTCAGATATAAAATTGGATTATTCAGTGACAATTTAAAGGCATGTCATGAGAAACTATTTATTTCATTCACACTAAGACTGTTTCACCCTATATATCCAATGTCTTTTAAAGGCTGTTTTACAGCATTGTTAAGTAATCTTATTGTATTATTTAGCGAACCATTAATCCGGCATCTTTTGCCGACAAAACGAATAGGCTACATCGGAAAGAAAAATACATATTTCAAATAACCGGGTGCGAGATCATTAAGATATTTATTGACAAGGATCATTTTACGTTGATTCCGTCGCACGTGATCAACACGATTACATACATGGAATGTTAACCTATTGACACCTTGAACCGGTCAGACCATCTCTTGAGAAAAGAACACCAGCTGATCGACAAATGATGTACGATCATACAACTCGATTCCTTCTTTTTCACTCTCGAATTAGTCCCATGGATGCAATTGGTTTATGCACCAGAGCCCTGTTTCATATAACTTGTTATCAATAACAAGTTCAAATCACAAGCTAATGCAATCGTGGCTTTTGATCCGTTGAGAGCAACTTTGTCATAGAAATTTAGCATTTGTTGTTCATGACAAGTTTTAAGAAACAGAGCCCTTGCAATCGACACAATATTTGCCTTTACCAAAAGGGTGACAAGCTCTCAAAATAAATACATCGAAAAGCATAGATAGCATTTAAATGAATGGGACATGTTTCGGGGTTTCAAACTTAATCCTCAGGCAGAGTTTCACAATCGAACTAAACCCCATTTAAAGGCCTTTATATACTCCCTGCCTTCTCTGATTTTAAGAATGTTAAATGTCAGAGTGATGAACAATTGGTAACCATTATAATTGGGTGTTTAATTAATTGAGTATGTCATAAATAAATTAGAAGCTACACAAACTGTTGATAATTAATTTACATAATCCTGATCAGAGCGCGGATACCAAACGAAAATAAACAAAATGTATTTGGAACAATAACATATATACATAGAGCACTTATCAGTTTACATAATAGTTATCTATATTTAAAGATTGTGCACGATGTGCATAATATTATAACAGATAAGGACATAATAACGTCCTTGTTTTCACGCAAAGTGAATGCATTTTTTTTCACTACCGTCACTTCGTGAAAACAGCGACGAGTAATGGCATCATACATGTTTATCACATGCCCTGTTGAGGGCCAGAGACGTGTTGATAATATAAAAGGCCTGTTTTCATCAGTTCGAGATTGCCAAATAACCCGCTATTTTAACTATCCCGATCGCAAGTTATCAAGGTAATTTGCATCTTCATTTAGCCTGCAGTTGCAATTAGTGGGATAATCGGTCGAGATAATCATTCTTAGATATCTTGGGCTAGTTTGCAAAATATCCCGCTATTTGTCCGGTTCGTTTTTACCAGCCAGAAGACTAGCACTCTGCGCGAACGCTGAGCAAAATATCTCGAGCGTCGAGCTGATGAAAACGCGATTTGTAAAACTTCGGGCTTATTTGCTTATCAGAAACAGCGGGCTATTTGGCAATCTCGAGCTAATGAAGAAATACCTAATTATCACCTAATCATCACCTCTCTGACTCACAGCAGCAATACGGACGTGACTTAAGGGAAGAGTTTGGTTTTGATTTTCTGTTTGAAAGTTTCTTCTGTCAAATAGGCAGCGATGTTGTTCAAGTACCTAAGCGGACCATACACAGTTAGCGTTTTGTTTATGAATGATCAATAAAACATTTAAATATATGTTTTGCTATTAAACACATAGGACTGTGTTTGTGTTTGGCATGGTCTTTGATGAATCATGAGAGAGTAAGATTGTTCAAGGAATGATTGGGAAATGAACAGTGAAAACATATTGCTATAGAATGGCGCATGTACTGATTGCGTCATAGGCATAATTAGCGTAATCAGTTTGGCTATCGAAATACGCTTTGAGTACAACGAGCATTATCGTAATTCATCTTTTGACAAGTGTGTAAGTTTGTTTGTGTTAAATTAAAATATATGTTTCCATAAGTGAATCAAAACATGGAATATATCTTACATAAGATTGATATGAAATAACATTTACTATATAACGTAGAACATGACACTCTTCACTATCATTCCACCCTCGTGTTGTGCGTCAAAAAAAACCGGGCAGTTCGTTGACGCATTCCTGTGTCAAATTATTGACGCATCGTGAGCAATTTGCATAACACATTAATTTCAATCCATCTTACCGTTGTAACGTTCGCAACGTGTGAATGGCTATGATTGGCGTGGTCGTGATCATCAGCCAATACCGTAGCTCGCTTCTCTATGCTCCGCCCCTTCGAGCGTGTTGCTATGACGTCCCTCCTCCTACGGGCGTGTTCATGGTCGTGGCCATCTTCCCCACCGATTCCGAGGTGTATCAGCATGTGCGCGAACTCTGCGTTGCGTTGTAAAGAGAGAGTTTAAAGAGAGTTTGAGTTTGACTATAAAGAGGGAGAGCCAGGGAGAGGCGGCGGGGGGGGGGGAGGGGTTATCATAATGTTTTATCATAACAACCGAGGAATTTCACAAAAGTCTGTAAAAATTATTCTCTGCAAATTCGATCGTCAATGGATTTTCCTTACTTTTACATTTAAAGTTCGCTGCTCCACTGCACAAACACCCAAATGGACATTTACCTGACTGATTTAACCTACCCCCCCCCCCCCTTTTTTTTTTTTTTAATTAGATGCAAATGCCCTAGAAACATGAAATATTAATCATAGAAAACTTCATTATCCCGGATTTTATCCAGGGGTATGTCATTTGAAAGTAAAGATTTGAACCTAAATACAACGTATCTGAATTGTCTCAAGTTGTCACTGTTGCGTCAGTTAATTGAGAACATCTGTCGTCCTCTAAAAATGTTCTTTGTCCGAGACATTGACCTTATAATTACAAGCAAATTCAATAACATCGAGCATCGAATTTGGAAATGTACGAACAAAACAATTACATCGTCCCAGAATGCTTTTACATAGGAAACATGATAGGGCAGTGGGTTGATTTCTAGGCAGTCTCTACGATCGTCGTATTCTCTTATGCTCACCTTCCTCGGTAATGACGCCAAACGTCGCAAACGTGTCGAAAATTGCCTCGGTGAAGTCCGTGGTCGAGGGCAGAGTGGGTTCTCCTATGCAGTACCCTTGTAGAAGACCGGCGACCACGGCCTGCGCCGCATACTGGAGCTCGTCATCGTCAGCCCCTGCTTCGTGGTCATTCACGGTTTCGTCGAAGACAGATTCAACGCTAAAGCACTATTAAATGTACGATAAAACGAGAGAGTTCGCATTTATTTGATTTTTCTAATCACCATCTGATAGTCCATGGAATGCTCATGATCGATCTCAACACCTACTTATTTAAGAATTTATTACGTTAAAGTTATATTTAAAACAAGATAGCAACTACTTTCGATATATCAAACAAACGCAATCTTAATATATTTTGTGGGTCACCTAAAAAGATGGCAATGGCGTATTAGGTAATCCAAATATGATTTCTATGGGACATAGAGTACCGAAGCTGTGACGTCTTAAAAATCTATTTTTCGCATTTCTCAATTTTTTCTTCATTTTCCGAAAGAACATCAAAAATAATGTCCAAATGTCGAAAACCAATTGAATATGTTAAATATTGGCTGAGATATGACCATCTGAATAAATATACTCCCCATAGGAACTCAGTGTTATATGCTCTGGCTCCTAATGGTTAGAAGCCAGAGCATATAACACTGAGCTCCCATTGGACATATATTCATTCAGATGGTCATATCTCAGCTAAAAATAGATTTTTGATGACGTCACACTTCTCCACTCTATAAAACATAGTATTACTATTTCCCTCTGATAAGATATTTATTTGATTTTTTTAAAGATTTGTGTTGTTGCTATAATATATCTTTAATTTTTGATAGGCCTGCTATTCTTGTGTAAATATGTTATGAATAAAACGTTTGAACTGTATGAATGTGTAGCTTATGGCTTCTAGGCTTCGTTTTGTTTTTTTCTGAATTCTTAGCAGTGTACATAATTGAATTTGTGTATGCGTTTATCTTGTTGACATGCTGTCAAGTTTTCCTTTTCGAAATCAGTATAACCAATAATCTATTCATATTATCCCATTTTCCACCTCTTATATATCATATATTCTTCTACTATTCGAAAATTGTATACCTTTACCAATTACCAATGTTACAGATAACTCTTACAGACGCAAATATATTATTGGTCCCTAGATCGTCACGTGATATCGATTGCGAGGATCTTAATTAGCGTCTTCCTCTCCTAGCCTTGTTTTTCCTTTTTAATCCGAAATGTTTTAATTCTCCATAATAGAATTACTACAAACCAAAACAAAATTAATACAAATAACATCATTCAGAAATTAAATAAATTACAAGTCAAACTAAATGTATACATTTTCTTTTGCACCCAATACAGTATACAGAAGGAGAATATTTGAAATACTCGTTTAAACACATGTTTACGTAACAACAACATAAAACAATGCTGTGTTCAGAACATGTTAATAATCTTTTAATCTTGATCTAAGGAGACACGAACGAACGAAATTAAAGCATAGTTCTAGCCCTGAATATAGAGATTTAACTTTTTTAAAACATATATAAAAAAACAATAGAAAACACAAAACACACTCACAAAACAAAATACATTCGTTCCTTCTATTCCTCATGCATACGCACATACTGTAGTCAAACAAACACACCTTTATCCCCCCAAAATAATGTTATATTACAAACTCCACCAGTCAATATTTGTATTATAAAACCTATGTCAATATTAAATGCCTCTCACCTTTGCGTTTGATAACTCAGCATAGCTGTCATGGATCGATTCCAAGATTACTTCCAGGTCATTCTCAGTCAAGGTCAAGTTAGACGAATCAGGTGCCGCCATCTTGAGTGACGCCATCACCACACTTTCAGTGAGATCTGTGCCGCCAGCGCGTTTCCGTTTTACACCCTGCCCTAGGCTTTTCGGCAAGAAATTACACGAAACATGCTGTATCCGAAGTCTAAGTTTGTTTATATCGACGTCAAGAATAGCGAAGCCAAAGCTTATACAATTTCAATTGGGGATGCGAGGGTCTTCTTGTTCAAGACGGTTTTCCCGATATATTATTGTTTTGTTATCGCTGGGCTAAATTTTGCGAGCTGATCACGCATCCTCACGCTCTTAGAGTATTGCGTATTAATGGATAAAAATAAATGATACGACTAGGAAGATCAACTAGTTAGTATAGAGAGTTAGCTAGCGCTACGTGACGTTTTCAGAGTTCTGGTGCCTTATTAAGTATATATCTCTATGGGTGGTGTGCAGAGCGCCGAGGCAAGATGTGGACGACTAGACTCCGAATACCAGTCGGTTTGTAAAATTTTATTGGAGAAAAGCCTAGGGCAGGGTGTAAAACGGAAACGCGCGTGCCGCCACGACCGGCCTGGCATACCGCCACCATCTCGTACGCTCCGAAGAGGAATAAGGGACTAGCACGGAGAAACTCGACGTCATCGAGTCCGTCGGCAACGTCGATATCGAGGCTGGAAAAGACGTCAGATGTGAAGTCATGTTGACACTAGAACAGACGGAGGAGAAAGAGAGCGAGGATGTAGTTTAGACCTTCTAAAGATTAACTCAGGGCAATTAATCTCGTGTTTTATTGCCTTTAAATTATCAGCGTTATTTCACCTCTTGGGTGCCACAAGACGTCTTTAGGTGTACCGTAAGAGAAATGAACTAAAGATCATTTTTTTAATCCATTAAAGAAATAACACTCTACAGACAACTAAGTGTCTCTTTTTTTTCTCGCTCCTTCGCAATTTCATTCAGAAACGATGTGATTTCAGGCAATAAAGTGCTAAATACCCAAATTAGAAGTCAACGAAGTTCCAGAATGTCTTTCGCATACATAACATCATTACTTATCTAGTGTATTATGTTTACAAAATAGCGGTTAACTATACAAGAAATGTCATTGTTTGTTTTGGCTCGCTCCGCTCAATCTCAAAGTTTAGGGGCAATATGAGTCCGTTCGTGTGTTCATGGCACTTGACGTGTACCAGCGTGATTAAACATAGAGACTTATAGATTTGCACAACGGAGAACGTAGACTGCCCTATTAAGGCAATGTGACGTCCTTTTAAGGCACTGGCAGTGACGTCACATTGCCTTAAAAGTACAGACCACGTTCTCCGTCGTGTAAGTCTAAAAGTCCCTAATGAAACTCCTATAATGACTTGGGATTAGGGTGACGCGAAATCATTTATATCTCTAAAGGGTGCCGCGACAAGAAAAGGGTTGGAGAGTCGCTGTCCCAAATAATTCTTGTTTAGAGCACGTCATTGTGACATCAGCACATTTCAAAATGATGCACAAGGTTTTTGAAACTACCTAAAGTTGATTAAACCCCCCAAAAAGCGATATGCTTACGAACCAAATTGAAAGGAATGACAGGTTTTGTACTTGTCCTATTCGGAGAAACCGATGAACACGTCCCACTGGAAACTGGAGCCCGGCACGAACGCACACCCGAGCCGATAGCACGCAACCCCTATTCCTAATCACGCTCTTCACCGCATGTATTCATACAATGATTTGCACGAGTGAATCCGTATTATGAAATGCAACACAAATACATCAATACTTTGTAATATATATATACCAAAAACAAAACCGCAATGAAAATTTGACAGTAGTACACAGCAATAACAGCAATGGTCGGTATTTCTCTTCGCGTATGTTTAAAGAGACACACACAAAATATTTAAAGTATTCTTGTTTTATTACGATGTCAGCGTACAGGTGTCCTGTCTAGCGGCAGTTATGTCACCGGACCTTATGGTGGTTCAGGGTTTCGAGTCCTTCGAGTCCGGTGGTGATGAAAATGAACATTCACCTGCTATTAGGCCTATACAAAAATGATGTTGTTTTGCCCTTTGCTACCGACCCAATTTCTTGAAATCTACGGTCGGCTTTTTTAGCAATTTCTTTTAAAAGCGTTTTTTAGAGAGAAAAAAAATTCTATTAAATCATTCAAAACTGAGAAATATCAGCCCAAAGAGGTAGTCAAAGAAAAGAAAAAGATTTCCGACCGACCGACCCATGTTTTGGCACCTAAAGGGCAATACAGCATCTTTTGTATAGGCCTTATCCTTTTAGTCCTACAATTTCCATAACGCAAATTGCATGAGTAATTGGCGCTCTCCTGGGGTGAAAGAGATTTGTCAACTGCTATGTTTAAGTACTTTGAATAAATTAGTTACGATTGTTCCCTGTTATACATTTTTCACCAAATATAATTTCTATCTTTCCAGCTATGATTTGTGCTCATTGAAAAGTAAAAGTTTGCTTATTGATTTGAAAATTCTTTCCATTTTAAATATAGCTTGGTGCATGATACATGTACAACTTTACATCATACGTCACATTTTCAACGAAATGGCTGCGCATATGTCATGCTAAAAGGCATCAATTCGTGCTAAGAATAAATTTACTTTATTATCTCTTGTACACTTTCATAAAGAATATTGTACATCAAAGAACAGGAGTACATCCCATTTTTCAGAATACACGTATTCTTTAGGGTAAGGTTTCCTTTAATATACTTATGGGGCGTTGCAAGAAAGGTGCAATCAATGGCAAATCCCCAAAATCAAGCGTAAGTCTTACGATTTATTGCAAATTTGCAATTGATCGCCACTCAGTTTTCTTGCAACGCCCCATTAGTAAGAGAGAGAGAGAGAGGGGGGGGGGAAGCTAGATCTAGTTATTAAACTTAATTTAATTGTTAAAGCTTTAATCCTGAAAAAATCCTAGGAAATTAAGGACACTATTGAGGCTTTGCAAGAAAGTTGAGTTGCAATTGATTGCAAATATCAGATGCCAATTTTGCAACTTACAATCAATCGCAACTTTATTGCAACGCCCTATTAGACATCATTTTTTTTTAATTGCTTTAGCGTCTTATCAGGGCGGCTCAGCTACAAACGTTTCGACTGATATGATGCTGTGTATCGAGGTAGAGTGTTATTTGCATTATAGCTGCAGTATAATTATAAAGGGGCAAATGTTTATTCAATCAAAAAACTAAAGGTTGTGATAACAAAATAGTTGTTTACATATTAAGTATCGATTTGTTAAGAATAAACAAACATGATCAGTTTAAAAAAAGGGTTTTGTATTCATGTCCCTTTCGCCAACAGTTTGACCAAGAGCAGTTTATAGAAAATATGAAATCAAGTGTTGTGAGCATGAGTTGGCCTATACTAACCTCAGAGAACTTTCTTGATGTAATTAATTTCTAAATAGACCGGTTTCTGAACATATTCAAATTTATAGATGTTTCTCTCTTTGGGACCTCGTACGAGGTATTCATTAATATGTTATTAATGAATGAACTACAATACTTGGAATCCAGATTACATGCATTACTTTTTGCCATGTCGGGCAATCCTAGGACGAGAATAACCTTTTTTTAAACAGTATGTATACACTTGTAATAATAGTAAACCAGTCAAATAAAGTAAATGATTGTAATTGATTTGTAATATTTTGTTGGGAACAGAAATAAAATAGAAGAAAACAAATAAGTGAATCGAAAAGAAATGCATATAGCAGTAGAAGAAAAATACAAAACATAACAAATGGGATGATAAAAGTTAATATTATTATTTACTTCTGCCTTTTGGGGTCTAGCCTTAGGGAAGAGGAGCATCGAGAGGGGCGCAAATACACAAACACTCAGCCACTATGAAAAAAGGGGCATATTTTCTAGGGGTTTTAATAGGGAAATTGCCGCTGTACCCTTTTAAATCCGGCTATGTGTTGCGGGCCACATTCTCAATTGTTGATCTTCACTCTCAAAATCAATACAAAAAAGGGACTTGCCAGAAAATAATAGAAAAAAAGTTAGATGCATGTACTTCCTCATAGTGATACAATATATCCGTATCATGATTTATTATCTGTTTGTTTTCCCCACGTTTTCTGTGCGTGCTGGGCGTGGGAACAATACTGCGATTTAACATGTAGTTTTCATACATCTCTCATGCTCATATAATATAGTCTTATTTTACATAATTCTGTGATAGTCATAGGCCTAGTTTACATAATTCTCTCTTCCTCAAAGTCTTAGTTTACATAATTATCTCATGATAATAGGCTTAGTCTATGCATCACTCAATTTCCTTAGGCAGTAGATTAATTATAGATATTTTGTATCCCACAATGCACCACACTTGAACGCTCGCACTCCAAATAAAGGCGTGGCCTTATGACTTGCTGGGTCTATATTCCAGGACGCGCAATTGTGGGTGTTATCATCGCATTGTGTGTTCGCTAGTGAGATTTTCCTCGTTTGATGTGTGAACAATTGAGATTCTGATTGATAAGATTCCCTTGAGCTTGACAATTGTGGAATGTCAACTTTATAGTATAAAACTACTGTGAAAGAAAGCAGAAAAATCAGATAAGCAGACTAAAGAAAATTTGAATAAAATCGGACAAAATATAAGAAAGTTGTCAAGTTTGTTAGGCCGATGGACAAATCGTATAAAGCCATTTTAAATTAGCTGAAGTCGCCATGTCATCGTGACGTAGTGCCGGACTATTTTCCCAATCTGTTTTAACAAACATGAAAAATACAGAATATTGTTCTTCTTCAAAATGCATGAATTAGCCTGGTCAACTCCTTTTAGATGACCTATGATAATTTGATTTCCATTATGTTTTGAGTACTGCCCCAAAGGCAAATGACACTTACGGGAAAAATTAACAATACTGAAATATATTGTGTACTCGAAAAACGGGAGAACTGTCCGTGACTCTAAGTTACAACCCACTAACCAAATTGCCAATTTGAAGTTCGCATAGATGTAGTAATCTCATGATTCAAACAGTCTTTAATTTGTTCAGTATTGGTCCGATTTATTTTAAATCTTTGGTCATTCTGTTTCTCGTTATGTTTTGCTTTCATACAATTAAACATATTAAAAAGTTCGGATTGCCTTCATTTAAATTGAAATAGATGTTGTCTGGAGAGGAAAATCAATAATTTTTGCAAACAAGATAAAATCAAATATCTACGTATGGAGGATAAGTATTGGTATAGCGATGTTTAATTATATTATAGAGACTGATATCATCACATTATATTTAAAGAAAGAGGACATTTTTAAATTCAATGCTAAATGTGACTTCGGTAAGTAGGAAAAGTATTTAAAAAAGGAAAAGAAGAAAAAGAAAAAAGAAAGGAAGAAATATAGAATGAAAAAAAATAATGAAAAGAATATAGACAAAGGAGAGGGAGAAGAATAAGATGGAGGAGAAGGAGAAGTAGGAGGAGAAGGAGAAGAAGGAGAAGTAGGAGAAGAAGATTAAGCAGAGGAAGGATACTTCAAGAGAGCCATAATGTCAAAATATTCAAGCTCGTCGATTTCTTCTCTCCCCCCAAATCAATGACAGGCCATGTTATGTTACGGGCCTTATTTCAAAACTGGATGATTTAGATCAAGGTGTCCCTGAGAATAAGATTCATCGGGATTTCAGTTACAATGTTTGTCTGTGTTAAGTTTTATACAGCCTGTTTTTTAAAAGTATTTATCGTATTGTATCGTAGTTTCATGTGTTTTTTTTTTACCTTCATTTTGTTGTTTATAAGGTAGTTTCTTTCTTTTTCCATTTGTTCTCTATCCCTCAATCTCTTTGCTTCATTTTTTGTTCTCTCTCTATCTTTCTTTGATATAACTACATTATTTTACATTCACCTTTCCTTCAATCGTATTCATATTTCTCTCCATGAATATCCCACCCTTTATCTATCTGTCTGTCAATATCTCTCCCCATTTCACTTTCATTCGAATATAACTCACCAGAATTTTGATGTGCCTTGATTTAATTCTTAAATATTTGTTTCGTCTTGCTGAACTTTAAGATTATCTGTTATGTATATTTTGTATTTTTCTGTTACAGCAGTTGATTGTCTGACGAGAAACCCCGTTTTCGTAAACTGAAATAAAAATTAAGAACGTGAATAATGAGTAAAAAAACCTAATGACTATGTTAACTAAATTGTTTTTGTTTTACCTTAGAACAGTTATCGACCCGTTGCTCACAATCGATTCGTCCGAAAACTATTTCGACCAAACTAACAACTTGATCAAACGTTACATTCTGTTCCGGGTTGTTAAAAAAATCGAATTCCTCTCTCATGCCTGCCAGCTCAACCTCCAAAAGATAATTTCCAATTTCCACGTAGTCATCATCATTGTCGTGATCGTGTATTTCCCTCGATTCCCTGGTCAAGCTCGCGACCGTGATCGCAAGAAAGTTTGTCAGGATGGCGAGAAAGAGAATTCCGGTGCACACGGTACGTAGGTACGCCATTTTGAATGAAGAACTTTTTCTGTACTGTGCGCCTATGGGTGTGTTACATGCAACTGTTACGTGTAGTACGTGTCGTGTGCAGGCGGCGTGAAGACGCTCGGAGACATATCTATAATACATGTCAATAAAGCATACTGCAAACAGTCTTTTATTGACTAAGTCTGCATCAATCCTACTGTGTTGATTTTTCCGAACGTCAAGCCACGCCCACCGAATCATCAATTTCGACCCTTTGGACTTGGTATTTATTGCTTTGTGTAAACCTTGCAGAGGCGTCAAACATTTTTCAATTTCATCTGTCGTTTCTGCATTACTCGTAGATAATTATGGTGGTCCTGAAGGGACATCGCGAATAGACGAAAACGCCAATTATTCACGACGAAATTCACGATATCGTCAATTTCGTCGTGAATAATTGGCGATAAAATTCACGACGAGGTTCACGCCTGGCTGGTTTCGTCGTCAATTACGTCGTGAATTTCCTTCTACTGGCTTTGGCGCGCGGTATACAAAGTTAGCCCCTTGATTGAAGACGATTATGACGAGACGTTTTTACCATGATTTCTGTGTAAATGGTAGGTTTTAACTTCATATTATGCACTATTTGTATTTTATCTTGGACAAGAAAGGGATAAGGGTAATTGCACAGCGGAAAAATTACCCGGTATGGAATTAATGGTCTAGATGCACTCAATGCATTTTCCCATACGTTCATTTCCATGTTGTAATATCTATTGAGTAATGTAATGTATCTACTAAGTACTAGCACACTCAATTTCTCAAACTGAGTCAACAAAGACTGAAAGAGTCGATGTAAACTAATACTAATAAGTAATAGCAAGTAATACAATCTTTCCTGGAGATAGGGCATTAGTCTTGAGTGACGGTAATCTTGCCTGTTGTGGACTGATATCACACCATTCTCATCTGAGATCACTCCAGAGTGCAAACAGAGACTGGTAAATGCCACAACTTAGACACAGGCTCAATGACCAGTTAAGATGTGATTTCCTGAGGTATTGTAACAATATTAAGGAAGGAACGAATGCCATGAACTGAAAGATATGTGACCCTGCACCACAAGTTTTTTGTTGAGCTCAGTAAAGGTGTATTTGGTCAGCATTTCCTGAAAAAGTACACCTTATTTATATGTAATTTCAAACTTTGGAAGCACGAAACAATTTCAACGCACTTGGTATTTTGGCAATATTTTGTAAATCTACATGTATGTTTTTCTGATATCTTAGTTGTAGTAGTTTTTATTTATTTACAACCATTGCTAAATGGTCTCATTTGGATCTCAAGTAACTTTAAAACAGAATAAGGTATTACATTGATTCCTAAGAAGAATTAAAAAGAGGACGTGCTTAATTAGTATGCCAAGTATTGAGGACAAACTGATTATCACTTCATACCAATTTCTATAGAGTTTTAACACCTTTTTCTCTAAAGTAACTTTCTATGGGTCACTGGAAATTCTTCTCTTTTCATGCCGCTGTTAGGAAGTATAGCAGAGGCATTATGTTTTCGGGTTGTCCGTCTGTCCCATTCTCATGATCGCGTTATCTCAAGAACCGATCGATAGATTTCTGCCAAACTTGGGTCATGTATGTATCTTGCAGAGCTAATGAACTGTTCATTAATGCCCTTTTGACTAACAATAGGACGCTATTCACTTTTCTTGGGAAGGGAAGCACAAACGGGGAATAAACGGAAGAAATTGCTTGGCTCGATGAAATCTGTCGATCAATGTGTCTTGAAAATGTGTGCATTAAAGAGGAAGCAACATTTCACCCGAGGTAGGTCAGGGCCCTGTTTCATTAAACTTATTATCAATAACATCTGCCACAGATCTATGACCAATCTGCTCTTAGCCAATCAAATGCAATGATTTCAGTATCTTATTAAAAAATCATTGCATCTCGTTATTGATGAGTAGTTTTATGAAACTGGGTCAAGATCTTGAGGGGCATCCATAGTTTGCCTCTCTACACCCTGGGGGGGGGGGGGGGGGGGGGTCGTTTCACAAAGATCCTAAGTCGAATTTAACTTAAGTTGGACTTAAGAACTATGGAAAGCCGTAAGCATCTTAAAAAATATTTTGTAAAAGTTATTTTAAAAGGCATAAAATGTTGATTTAAATCTTTCATAATTTCTTTTATCAAGGAAATGTCATGTTCCTGATGTGGAATTTATGAAAAGTCTGAAATACTTGAATTGATGTTTTTTAATATGTTTAATTTTAATCCAACTTAGAGTTAAGTTTGACTCAATATATTTGTTAAACATCCCCCTGGTGCGGTAAATGGTCAGCAAGACTTGTAATTCCTTAAAATGCTAGATCACTGCAATTGCAACAGTGCTAAATGACGGATAATTACAATCACATTTATTCATTAATTCATCAGTTTTGTTGTAAATCATTGCATTCTTGCCACCTTGATAAACAACGTACACACAGTATTTATTTTTGTTAAAGAGATTATTTTTAGTACAAATTCTTGACCATCACTTGTAATTCTAAATTACTTATGCTCTTTTGCAATAACCCTCATTGTGTTGTTGTGTTATGTACAAGTGAATATGAGAATAATTCTGTACAATAAAGATTTTCCTTGAAAATGTATTTTCTCGTCATTGTTGTGTTATTCAAGTTGTAAAGCCACATGTACATTAATCTTGAGGTCTGGGTGTGGGTATCGTATGTCAAGAGAAAATGGCTATAATTCATTCTCATTTTTTATCCTGCAGTAGATTGATCGTTTTAACCAGTAAAATAAAAATAACCTCACAAAAATTTGATGTTAATTATCTTTTTCAAAAAACCACAACTCTCATTTGCACATAAGGACCTGTGTTAAGCACATGGTGTTAGGCCTACATACCCGGATTTCCTCATCTTAAGCACTTGGTGTCGAGCCTTCCTTACCTTTCAAAGCTCATTACTCAGCCACTATACATTTTCTACCAAAATCGTTTGGCGCATGCCACTTATTTGTCTTTGACATTTAGTGTAAGTTTTCTTGGGATTCTGTGGGATTTATTTACAATCATTACCACTACTTTTGTTTTTTAAAAAAAACGCCCCCCTCCCCCCCCCCTCTCTCTCTCTCTCTTTTCCTCTATTGAATTTTCGCTCTCTCTCCCACGCTCTCTCTGTCTCTCCCCCATTCTGTTTCTCTCTCATTCTTTCCTCCTACCTCTTAATACCATGCGGATGCATTTAGTCTACCTTTCTCTCAAGTTCTGTAAATTTATCGTTCGACTTTCTTCGTTGTGAATTGAACAGAGACTATAATTGATACTTAAAGTACAAAAAAAATTTTTTATTGCATATCACAAGAAAAGCGTCCATATAAATCGATGTGAATACAATTTGCAAGCATTTATGTGTTCAGTAAGATATCCGCTTCATTTTGAATGCAAGTATAATATGTATTGATTCAATGATACAATCTCTAGAATTACCCTTTTAATCCCAATGAGACCGAGGTATTTGAGATCTATTTACGGCCGGTGAAGTGTATATAACACTATAGTAATTTTTATTTTGAGAAAAAATCACTCATTTGCATATTTATGGTAATGTATGCAAACAAGGTCATAATATTCATGCATTTACACATAAATCATATCTTCTTCATATTTAACCAATCATTTTTATGCATACATTCTTTACACCATTTGGAATAATATTATAACAATTTTTTTTTTTTTTTTTTTTTTTTTGGGGGGGGGGGATAATTTCGTATGTATTTATATTAAAGGGCAATCCAACCCTTGTAATAAGTTGATTCGTATGAAAGTAGAAAAATAACAGAAACAGAATAGCAAAAGTTTGCAATGAATCAGACCAGTACTAGGGAAGTAAGGAATGTTTGAAATGTGAGATCACTAAGCCTATGCGAATGACAAATTGGTAATTCGGCCAGTGGATGTGATGCAGGACTTGGATAACTCTACAATTGTTCGTGTACACAAATATCATTAATTTCTGTTTTTTCTCCCTTGGGCCACTACTCAAAATTTATTATAGATAACATATTAGTAAAAGTCCTCTAAAAAGAAGAGACCATCCTGTGTAATACATTTTCACATTTTAGTCATTTTATATGTTAGAACAGATGGGAAAGTAGTCCAGCACTACATCACATTTACATTACCGCCTCAGCCAATTCGAAGTGCCCATACGTAACGTAAAGTGATTACTTTACAACAAAAAAGATCATAATTTTCGTATATTAAGTCATATTTAATTTAAACTTTCATCAGTTTGCTTCCCTGATTTGTCTGCTTTCTTTTAGAGTAGTTGTCTGTGGGTTGGAATTCCCCTTAAGGTTTTTCTGTTTACAAAGAGTTCTTAGCACTGGAATAAGGGTAGTGTTGGGTAGTGTTGCTGTCCCCCCCCCCCTCCATCTCTCTCTCTCTCTCTCTCTCTCACACACACACACATTATGTTATCCGTCCTATATGTATCTCTCAACCCGCGGTCTGCTCGCTATTTATAAGGACCGCTATTTATAAAAGAGTGCTATTCATTCAGTCCCGCGTTATGGATAGCGGTCCTTATGAATAGCGGTCCTTACGAATAGCGGTCCTTAGTGATAGCGAGCTTGACCCCTCCACTCTGACCCTCCTTTCCTCCCTCCCACCCCCTCACGGCTCATGTTCCCCTATATGGATAATTCAATAGCGTCCTCATACAGTGCTATTAACAGAATAATCCCAATTCCCGCCAAGAATCCAATATTCTGCAGAATAGCCACGGTGACCTTGTTGCTTTTTCCGTCGTATTGGTGTAGCATCGGAAGCTGAAAATGATGAGAAAAAGGGATACTTTCTGTTATACGATGGAACCTTCTTATAAGAAGCAATGATAAAACAGGAGATCTGCTATAACAAGGTGATTTTGCTGGTCCCATCGCTTTATATATAATTATATTTGTGTTTAACCCTGATATCAAATTTGCGAAAAATATAAACATATCTTTGGGACGATTCGGTAAGTTTATCGGGACAACTTCGGGGAAGTTCGTGCAGCTGCTTCTTACCATGTCGACGAGTCCAACGTAGAGAAACATGCCAGCGACAGAAGCGAAAATCCATTCCCGAGCCGTCTCGGTCTGTCCGAGCGGGATCCCGATCCACAAGCCGATGAATGCCGAACAAGCGCACATCATATTCAGCAGGAGTGCCGTTCGG